ATGTCATAAATAAAGAGTGATATGTCTATAATAAAGAGTGATATATTATAAAGAGTGACTTATAATAAAGAGTGATATATCATAAAGAGTGATTTATAATAATGAGTGATATGTCATAAATAGTGATATATTATAAGAGTGATTTATAATAAAGAGTGATATGCATAATAAAGAGTGATATTATAAAGTGATTTATAATAAAGAGTGATATATAATAAAGACTGATATGTCTAAATAAAGACTGATTTAAATAAAGAGTGATATATAATAAAGAGTGACTTATAATAAAGAGTGACATGTCATAAATAAAGAGTGATATATTATAAAGAGTGATTTATAATAAAGAGTGATATATCATAAATAAAGAGTGATATATTTTAAAGAGTGACTTATAGAGAGTGATATGACATAAATAAAGAGTGATATATTATAAAGAGTGACTTATAATAAAGAGTGATATATAATAAAGAGTGATATATAATAAAGAGTGATATGTCATAAATAAAGAGTGATTTATAATAAAGAGTGATATATAATAAAGAGTGATATATTATAAAGAGTGATTTATAATAAAGAGTGATATATCATAAATAAAGAGTGATATATTATAAAGAGTGATTTATAATAAAGAGTGATATATCATAAATAAAGAGTGATTTATAATAAAGAGTGATAATAATAAAGAGTGATATATAATAAAGAGTGATATGTCATAAATAAAGAGTGATACATTTTAAAGAGTGACTTATAGAGAGTGATATGTCATAAATAAAGAGTGATATATTATAAAGAGTGATATATAATAAAGATTGATATATTATAAAGAGTGATATGTCATAAATAAAGAGTGATTTATAATAAAGAGTGATATATTTCAAAGAGTGACTTATAAAGAGTGATATATCATAAATAAAGAGTGATATATTATAAAGAGTGATTTATAATAAAGAGTGATATATAATAAAGAGTGATATGTCATAAATAAAGAGTGATATATTATAAAGAGTGACTTATAATAAAGAGTGATATATTATAAAGAGTGATTTATAATAAAGAGTGATATATAATAATGAGTGATATGTCATAAATAAAGAGTGATATTATAAAGAGTGATTTATAATAAAGAGTGATATATAATAATGAGTGATATGTCATAAATAAAGAGTGATATTATAAAGAGTTATATATAATAAAGAGTGATATATAATAAAGAGTGATATGTCATAAATAAAGAGTGATATATTTTAAAGAGTGACTTATAAAGAGTGATATATCATAAATAAAGAGTGATATATTATAAAGAGTGATATATAATAAAGAGTGATATGTCATAAATAAAGAGTGATATATTTTAAAGAGTGATATATTATGAAGAGTGATATATTATAAAGAGTGATATATTATAAAGAGTGATTTATAATAAAGAGTGATATATAATAAAGACTGATATGTCATAAAGAGTGATTTATAATAAAGAGTGATATATCATAAATAAAGAGTGATATATTATAAAGACTTATAAAGAGTGATATATCATAAATAAAGAGTGATATATTATATAGAGTGACTTATAATAAAGAGTGACTTATAGAGTGATATATCATAAATAAAGAGTGATATATTATAAAGAGTGATATATTATAAAGAGTGATTTATAATAAAGATTTATATATCATAAAGTGATTTATAATAAAGAGTGATATATAATAAAGACTGATATGTCATAAAGAGTGATTTATAATAAAGAGTGATATATCATAAATAAAGAGTGATATATTATAAAGACTTATAAAGAGTGATATATCATAAATAAAGAGTGATATATTATAAAGAGTGATATGTCATAAATAAAGAGTGATATATTATATAGAGTGACTTATAATAAAGAGTGACTTATAGAGAGTGATATATCATAAATAAAGAGTGATATATTATAAAGAGTGATTTATAATAAAGAGTGATATATAATAAAGAGTGATATGTCATAAATAAAGAGTGATATATTATATAGAGTGACTTATAATAAAGAGTGACTTATAGAGAGTGATATATCATACATAAAGAGTGATATATTATAAAGAGTGATATGTCATAAATAAAGAGTGATATATTATATAGAGTGACTTATAATAAAGAGTGACTTATAGAGAGTGATATATCATAAATAAAGAGTGATATATTATAAAGAGTGATTTATAATAAAGAGTGATATATAATAAAGAGTGATATGTCATAAATAAAGAGTGATATATTTTAAAGAGTGACTTATAAAGAGTGATATATCATAAATAAAGAGTGATATATTATAAAGAGTGATTTATAATAAAGAGTGATTTAGGGTGCTAAATCCTTAGAACCGTTACAAGGTGTGTTTTTTGCATTTTCTAAATTGTGTAACTTGCTGCAGTTAAATACCATCAAACTATGTGCAATATGTGCTATATGTGCAATATATACATATGCCATTAATAACTGTGTAATATATACCGGCTGCTAAATCCTAAGAACTGCTACAGGGTTTGGATTTGGGATTTTTTTTTATTTTTTTTTTATTATATTTTTATTATATCATAACTTAGTACTTTTCTTAACATATGTAACATGAAGCTGTCTGTGGCTCTTTCCTGCTGTAACGATGCATATTTCCCCTCTGTGGGACTAATACAAGTATTCTGATTCTGATATACAAACTAAAGAGTGATATATAATAAATAGTGATATATTATAAAGAGTGATTTATAATAAAGAGTGATATATCATAAATAAAGAGTGATATATTATAAAGAGTGATATATTATAAAGAGTGACTTATAATAAAGAGTGATATATTATAAAGAGTGATTTATAATAAAGAGTGATATGTCATAAATAAAGAGTGATATGTCATAAATAAAGAGTGATATATTATAAAGAGTGATTTATAATAAAGAGTGATATATCATAAATAAAGAGTGATATATTATAAAGTGATTTATAATAAAGAGTGATATATAATAAAGACTGATATGTCATAAATAAAGAGTGATTTATAATAAAGAGTGATATATCATAAATAAAGAGTGATATATTATAAAGAGTGATTTATAATAAAGAGTGATATATCATAAATAAAGAGTGATATATTTTAAAGAGTGACTTATAGAGAGTGATATGTCATAAATAAAGAGTGATATATTATAAAGAGTGACTTATAATAAAGAGTGATATATTATAAAGAGTGATTTATAATAAAGAGTGATATATCATAAATAAAGAGTGATATATTATAAAGAGTGATTTATAATAAAGAGTGATATATCATAAATAAAGAGTGATATATTATAAAGAGTGATTTATAATAAATAGTGATATATAATAAAGAGTGATATGTCATAAATAAAGAGTGATTTATAATAAAGAGTGATATATAATAAAGAGTGATATATAATAAAGAGTGATATGTCATAAATAAAGAGTGATTTATAATAAAGAGTGATATATAATAAAGAGTGATATATTATAAAGAGTGATTTATAATAAAGAGTTATATATCATAAATAAAGAGTGATATATTATAAAGAGTGATTTATAATAAAGAGTGATATATCATAAATAAAGAGTGATTTATAATAAAGAGTGATAATAATAAAGAGTGATATATAATAAAGAGTGATATGTCATAAATAAAGAGTGATACATTTTAAAGAGTGACTTATAGAGAGTGATATGTCATAAATAAAGAGTGATATATTATAAAGAGTGATATATAATAAAGATTGATATATTATAAAGAGTGATATGTCATAAATAAAGAGTGATTTATAATAAAGAGTGATATATTTCAAAGAGTGACTTATAAGAGTGATATATCATAAATAAAGAGTGATATATTATAAAGAGTGATTTATAATAAAGAGTGATATATAATAAAGAGTGATATGTCATAAATAAAGAGTGATATATTATAAAGAGTGACTTATAATAAAGAGTGATATATTATAAAGAGTGATTTATAATAAAGAGTGATATATAATGAGTGATATGTCATAAATAAAGAGTGATATTATAAAGAGTGATTTATAATAAAGAGTGATATATAATGAGTGATATGTCATAAATAAAGAGTGATATTATAAAGAGTTATATATAATAAAGAGTGATATATAATAAAGAGTGATATGTCATAAATAAAGAGTGATATATTTTAAAGAGTGACTTATAAAGAGTGATATATCATAAATAAAGAGTGATATATTATAAAGAGTGATTTATAATAAAGAGTGATATAGGGTGCTAAATCCTTAGAACCGTTACAATTTAGATGTTGCTGTGTCAGAGTAAATTCAGATGGAACATAGTAAAACAATTACAATTCTCATTTCCGCCTAGAACAAAAAAACATTATTTATAGTGAAACCACCCTTGAATGATGGGATAGTAGACCAGAACCTGTCGGGATCCAAACCAATATATCATAAGCTTGAATTTAAAACAAATATGTTGGCACAGGTAGGTCCAGGCTCACCTTTGGGTACATTTGGTTACCATCAGTGCCATTTGACCTTTCTCAGGTACCACACTGTAAAACTCATTTTATTTCATTGAAATATCACAATAGGTATTCATTCCATCCAAATACAACTGCTTTTGACCTTTTTGAAAATTCACCCAGACCTCTATACCTTTTCCCATTCAACAAAAACACATACACAGGAAATGAAGTTTGACTCCAACTGAAGCAGATTTATTTTAAACATGTTACCAACATAATACACAAGAAAACTACACTCTGAAATCAAAAGGTAAAAACAATCACTTTTTTTTTGTAAAGAACAACACACTGGCAAAACTGTATACACCCTGAATGTTACAGTGTTTGGTCGTGCCACTCCATGAAACAGTTCTTTCTAGAAGTGAAGCACAGAGGGACCATGCACTTCCTGCAGTACACAGGTGTCTTCACCGTTTTGTTGCCAGCATTAGAGCAGTTCTTGCAGTACTTCCTGAGCGCGGTGGCATCTTCCCCATAATACACGGGCATGCATGTGAGCGGTGGGGGGGATGGTGCTGCTGCTGCTTCTGCTGCAGGGACTCCAGCAAACTCCAACATCTCTGCAGCCAGCTTCTCCCTGAAGGACTTCTGGGTGTGTGGCTTTGTCCTGGCGGGGTCATTCTTCATCTTGGACAGCTCCTTGTAGAGAAGGAAGCTGTTCACCACTGCAATGTCCATAAAATGGTAAAAAAAAGTCTTGTACCATTTCATTGTTTTGTAGTGAACGCTGTAGTACCCAATCAAAGCGTCTGACACATCCACGCCACCCATGCTTCGGTTGTAGTCCACCACAGCGTCAGGAGCAGGAACAGTCTTCGTCTGCCACACACCAGCCTGTTTCACTTTCCGCTGGACAGTCTGACCGCTGAAGGCCTCGTGCACTGTGGAGCACATGGTCACTTCACGGGTGTCCATCCACTTCACGAACAGGATTTTGCCTCTCCTTATCCACCGCAGATCTCCCCTTTCTGCCTTTTTCGGTAGGTCATTCAACTCCGTCCGTGGAAACTCCATTTTATTTTTTCTAATGGTCCCACAACAGCCAATGTTTTTTGTGGACAAATCCTCAAAGAGGGCAGGGCTGGTGTAAAAGTTGTCCACAAAGAGTGTGTAGCCCGCACCGAGCAGAGGGAGAGGCAGGAGGTCGGTCACGGAGGAGTAGCTGAGTCCATGGCCTGTGGTGGACTCACTCTTCCCCGTGTACACAAAGAAGTTCCAGGTGTATGCCGTTGAGGAGTCCGCCAGCACAAACAGTTTGTACCCCCACTTTATGGGCTTGTTCTTCGTGTACTGCTTCATGCTGATGCGGGCCTTGGAGGCGACCATCCTCTCATCTATTGAAATGTTCCGATGGGGCTGGAAATGTGCTTTGCAGGCAGTAACGATGTCCGTGTAAAGGGGCTTGATCTTGAAGAGTCTGTCGTACTCGGGGGTGTTCCTTTTGCGCTCGTTTTCCTCGTCTTCTTTAGGGTCGCTCATGTGCAGCGACCACAGGATGGTTTCAAAGCGTCTCCGGGACATTTTCTCAGATGGGAATTGGAAGTTGTACGGCCATTTCTTCCTCCAGTAGTCCGATCTGTGGTGAACGTGGACGAGGCCGGAGAAAATGATAATGGCCAGGAAAACATAAAAGTCCCTCAGAGTCAGCTCTTTCCAAACGTACTTCTTTCCAGCCTGTGACCTCTTCAGGGCGTTTGCATTGGTGTTGTCGATGAGCCTCTGGACCACGGAGGAGCTGAAGAACATTCTGAAGAGGGAGAGGGGAGACCACGCTGTGATGGGGTCTAACGCGGGGCCGGGGACCCTGGCTGGCATGAACCTGCATGGCTCTGGTCTTTGGTCTTTCTCCTCTCTGGTGTGCCACCTGAGGTCTTCCTCTGTCGTTCTGGAAGAGGGGGACCCACCTCGGGGAGACCCACCTCGGGGAGACCCACCTCGGCCACGCTTCCTGGGTGTGGCTGATTTATATGACGCTTTTCCTTTTCTTTTGTGCTGCGTCTCTTCGGGTGATTCGGAATCAGATGAAGAAGATGATGGCTGAGGAGGGGTACGTGTGGATGGTCTCAGCTGAGTGGAAGCAGGCGATGATGGCTGAGGATGTGAGGGTGGAGCAGAAGCCATTTTAGGCTCGTAATCTTCATCACTGTGAAAACAAATGTGGAAAAAAAACAAATAGATGAATTTACTGGCCTACACTTGTAAAAATGTAACTCCAAACAGACACGTAACATTATATGGATGGATATATATCCATATTCCAATTACTTTGTATTAGGGATGGGAACGATTCATCGAATATTCGAAATTATTCAGGTATTCGAATATGAGTCATGAATATCTTTTTTTTTTTTTTTTTTTTTTGGAGGGAGGGATGGCTAAGTTGATTACATATTATCAAATTGAATAATTCAATGTATACGACAGTGCCATAGCTAAATGTGTTAGGTGACGTCTAAAGGTGTGTTTTGCTCCGCTCACCGGTCCCTCACAGCGGGCAGAGCTGCAGGTGCTGATCTCTCTCTCTCTCTCGTCCGGTACTTCACTCGCGTTTATGTCCAAACCCATCAGATCTAGTTCTAATGATATGGCTGCTGCCCCTGCCTACACACAGATCACTCAGACTCAAACCTCATCTTATGTCCAAACCCATCAGATCTAGTTCTAGCTAATGATATGGCTGCTGCCCCTGCCTACACGCAGATCACACAGACTCAAACCTCATCTTATGTCCAAACCCATCAGATCTAGTTCTAGCTAATGATATGGCTGCTGCCCCTACCTACACACAGATCACGCAGACTCAAACCTCATCTTATGTCCAAACCCATCAGATCTAGTTCTAATGATATGGCTGCTGCCCCTGCCTACACGCAGATCACACAGACTCAAACCTCATCTTATGCCCAAATGCGGCGCAAATGCGCTCCGCAGCCGTTGGGAGGTTCGGGCGCTAACAGTTCATGAGCGTGCTCCCCCGCTCCCTGTCAACACTCGCGACACATGAGTGGCCAGCCTAAACAACAATAAGCGCTGCTTGGCAACCGTGTGTGGCGGCAAAGTACAAAGACATTTTGACAGGAGAGATTTAGTTTTGCCGGTATTCAACATATTTGACCAGTCATAGTCCGGTCATTATTTACACTCTAAGAAGAGTCCTACACAACAGACATGGCGTCAAGAAGGAGTAATGTGTGGAAAGATTTCCACCAGGTTAGTGAGTGCGGTGTAGAATGCAAACTATACCAAATTAAACTTATATATATACATACTATACCTTGCTATACCCGCAACCTCCGTTCCAGCTGAGAGGGTCTCCTTGCTATACCTGAGAGGGTCTTCTCTACAGCTGGTCTGATTGTGAATCGCCTCCGCACATGAAAGCTGTAGGCCTATAGCTGTCAAACTGTGATCACCAGTTCAATACATTTGACAAATTCGACTTGGTTTCTAAACTTATTTGAACATGTATTTATTTATTTCCAAAAGTTATTGAAATGTTTTCGAAAAAAAATGTTAGAATTTTTTTTTTTTACCCAATTTTTTTTTTTATAGGATATTTACATTTCGGTTAACCGTTTTTTGGAGGGTCGAATATTCGAATATACATTTGCTTTCAAATTCCCATCCCTACTTTGTATATAGACTATTCTGCTCTATTTCTATTATATTCTATTTTATTTTATTTACTTGCACTATTGTCTGTTGTATTGTTGGAGGAGCCTGTGACCTCAGGTGTTCCTGCTGTCTGACATTAATACTCTCAAGAGGTTTGTTGTGAGCTGCAGCCTTCCCGGCTGACAGTCATACTCCATGGCGGAACTACTCCAGCTAAAGCACACATCCACTGCACCATGCCCGACGATGATCTCCGCCATCAGTAAACATGGACTGCTACAACGACCCAAATACATTCACCGAACCTCCAGACGAAAGTTTGTTTACTCCGGTCCGATCATTCCATCTCATCCCCCTGGTCTGCTGCGCGCACTGACACACCCCCTCCACCTCATCAGCACAACAACCAACACGTGCACTCTGCCTGCCTACGCCCCCTTCCCAAAGCACCCCAGCCTGTTCAAACTCAACCTCATCTCAAACTAGCTCTGTTTAACCTGTTAAGCCCTGAGCCTGTTTTTCAGGTTTCAGGCTCGAAAATGCCACTAACACAACACATGACTATATCTTCACTTCTAAAAGGGGTAAATTAATCATCTTTTTTCTCAAAGCAAGGTTACATCTGTGAATTGGATGTAGAAGTGTCAGAATCAATATAGATGTTTTTTATTTAAAGGGGACCTATCATGCAAAATGCACTTGTGTACGTCTTTTCTACATGAATATGTGTCCCCGGTGTTCCAGGGAACTCACCAAGTGTCAGAAAACACAACCCTCTCTATTTTCCTCCATACCCAAATCTCTAAAAAAGGGGCTGCAACGGATCTGATAAAAACTGATCCAGATTTGAACACTGTCCTGACGTCAGGACAGTGCTGGAGACGTTGTAGTACATATGCCAGGCCTGTAGGTGGTGCTGTTCTCACTGAATCTGCCCTTGCAAAAACAGAGCTATAAATTGTCAAATTGAGCGAAATGAGGCATGGCTAAAATGCATGATCTGTTTGGTATTTTTTTTTTTTTTTAAAGTATAAATATGTCTTATATAGGTATGGTCCTACACTATATTATTCAAATATAGCACGATAGGTCCACTTTAAAGTAAATTCAGATGGAACATAGTAAAAACATGTAAATTCTAATCTCCGCCTAAAAAAACCCCATTACTTACAGTGAAAACTACCCTTGGATGATGGGTTAGTAGACTAAAAGCTTTAGGAATCCAAACTATAACATATAATAAGTACCCTGTATCAAGATTGATGCAAAACAAGTGAGATTTGACCTTTTTAGAGAGATTTAGCAAAATAAAGTCCAGGCGGACTCACCTCTGGGTAATTTGGGAACCATCAGTTCCATTTGACCTTTTTCACTGTAAAAATCATTTTATTACTTTGAATTATCACTATAGGTATTTATTCCATCCAAATACAACTGTTGTAAAAAAAACATACAAAATGAAGTTTGACTCCAACTGGAGCAGATTTATTTAAAACTTTACAATGTTACAATATGTTGGCATGCCACTCCTGGAAACAATTCTTTTTGGAAGTGAAGCACAGAGGGACCTGACACTTCCTGCAGTACACAGGTGTCTTCACCTTCTTTTTGCCAGCATCATGGCAGTTCCTGCAGTTCTTCCTGATACGGACATCTTTCCCATAAAACATGGGCCCGCATGTGAGTGGTGGGGGGGGTGGTGGGGGTGGTGGTGTAGGTGTTCCATATTCCAACATTTCTGCAGCAAGCTGCTCCCTGAAAGTCTTCTGTGTGTATGGCTTTGTCCTGCTGGGGTCACTCGTCATCTTGTGCAGCTCCTTGTGGAGAATGAAGCTGTTCACCACGGCAATGTCCACAAAATGGTAAAAAAAAGTCTTGTACCATTTCATCGTTTTGTGGAGAACGCTGTAGTACCCGATCAAAGCGTCATCCACGCCACCCATGCTTCGGTTGTAGTCCACCACAGCGTCAGGAGCAGGAACAGTCTTAGTCTGCCACACACCAGCCTGTTTCACTTTCCGCTGGACAGTCTGACCGCTGAAGGCCTCGTGCACTGTGGAGCACATGGTCACTTCACGGCTGTCCATCCACTTTATGAACAGGAGTTTGCCTTCCCTTATCCACCGCAGATCTCCCCTTTCAGCCTTTTTCGGTAGGTCATTCAACTCCGTCTGTGGGAAACCAACTCGATTTTTTCCAATGGTCCCACAACAGCCAATGTTTTTTGTGGCCAAATCCCCAAAGAGGGCAGGGCTGGTGTAGAAGTTGTCCACAAAGAGTGTGTAGCCCGCACCGAGCAGAGGGAGGGGCAGGAGGTCGGTCACGGAGGTGTAGCTGAGTCCCTGGCCTGAGAGGAACGTACTCTTCCCTGTGTACAAATTGAAGTTCCAGGTGTATGCCGAGGAGGAATCCGCCAGCACAAACAGTTTGTATCCCCACTTAGTTGGTTTATCCTTCATGTACTGCTTCATGCTGACTCGGGCCGTTGAGGTGACCATCCTCTCATCTATTGAAATGTTTTGATGGGGCTGGAAATGTGCTTTGCAGGCAGTAACGATGTCCGTGTACAGGGGCTTTATCTTGAAAAGTCTGTCGTACTCAGCGGTGTTCCTTTTGCGATCGTTTTCCTCGTCTTCTTCAGGGTTGCTCAGGTGCAGTGACCACATGATGGCTCCGAAGCGGTCCCGGGACATCGCATCACCTGGGAATTTGAAGTTATATGGCCATTTCTTCCTCCAGTAGTCCGATCGGTTGGGAACGGTGACGAGGCCTGAGAAAATGATAATGGACAAGAAAATATAGAAATCCCTCACAGTCAGCATTTTCCAAACATGCTTCTTTCCAGCCTGCAGTCTTTTCAGGGCGTTGGCGTTCGTGTTGGCAATGATTGTATGAACCACGGAAGCGCTAAAAAAAAGTCTGAAAATGGAGAGGGGAGACCATGCTACAGTGGGGTCGAGCGCTGGGCCTGGGACCCTGGCTGGCGTGAAATTCAGTGGCTCTGGTGTTTGGTCATTCTCCTCTCTGTTGTGCCACCCGAGTTCTTCTTCTGTCGTTCTGGAAGAGGAAGAACCTCGGCCACGCTTCCTGCGTTTTACACATTTATCTGATGCTTTTCCTTTTCCTGGCTGAGGAGCGGGAGCCCCACCTCGGCCACGCTTCCTTTGGTTTACAGATGCATCTGACGCTGCAGAAAGCTGGTAGAAACCAGACGATGGTAGCTTTGGAAGTGAGTGCTTTTTGGATGCAGGCTGAGTGGCCAATACTGGTGCAGATCTCTTTCTAGAAGTTGAGGAATGTGATGGTGAGGCAGGTGTGGCAGGTGAGGCAGGTGTGGGCTGGGTGAAAGTAGACAATGGTGAAGCCATTTCATCCTCATCTCCATCACTATGAAAACAAATGTGGAAAAACAAAGAGATTAGATTAATTCCTGTGTTTCCTTGGCAGTAAACATGCCATTTTGAGTGTGTGAATGCAATACATTTAGTGACTATAGATGAACACTGGCCTATACTTTTAGTAACTGCAGGGTTCATACACTTTTTCACCAATGATTTTCAATTACTTTTCCATGACTTCTCCATGACCTTTACCTAATTTTCCATGACCAAAAAAAATGACTCTTTCTCAGCGGTACCACATGTAACAGGAACATAAGGTCTGCATATGAAACATGTTGTGCCTATCTAAAACAAATCCAATAGTAGGCTTACTAGCTTCTACACGCTAAAGCAACTCAAATCTCTCACCAGCAAAATACCTCGACAGTTAAAAGCCATTTTATGTTTCATTACTATACGATACAGTATGTATTATCATTATAGTATTACTATTTTGGCGATTAGATAAAATATAAATTATATTTGATGCAATTTTTGTTAAATTTCCATGACTTTTCCAAAACTTTGGGAAAAATATTGTTTTCCAGGGCCTGGAATTAGCTTTTTGAATTTCCATGACTTTTCCAGGTTTTTAATGACCGTAAGAACCCTGTAAATGTAACAGACAAGAAACACTATATCGTAGTTTTTTTTTAAATAATCCCTCTAATTCCTGCCAAACATGCCATTTTGAGCGTACATTACATTACATTTAGCAGACGCTTTTATTTACTATATGAATAATCATACACCAAATAAATAAGTAATAGATAAAAACAGAGGGATTACCGTGGTGGAATTTCATCATCAGAGTCACAACGCTCCGGGTTCCGTTCTGGCTGCAGGAGATCCTCGTTGTCTGACTCAGAATCAACGGGTAACATATCTGCATCGCTGTCTACATTAGTCACAATTTCCATTGCCTGTAAAGTCGTAAGCATCTGTTTCCTGCAAGCCATTATTTGACAAAAGTCAAAGTATAGCAAAAGTCCTAAACGCCAATCTTGTAATCTGCTCTGTTATCTGCTGTCCGCTCTGTGCGCTCTGGGTGCTCTGGGTGCTGCTGCAATTCCTCTTATTTACGTACTAAACACGGCATAGAGTCTGCTGCGTATACTTTACGCAGGACCATATCTATGGAACCCATTGGTCGATTTGAGTGATTTACACCTTTTTCTTAACCATTAGATCCAATAGAATCCGATGGGCAGTTCCCAAATCCACGTAAACATTACCATTGCGGACGTAATAGAGAAGCAAACGAAGCATATCTGAAAGTACAAGCCTTGACTGCAAAACTTTATACCCAGTTTATTGCTATAAATATGATGATGGATTATCAGTAAAACATTCTACGTGACACAGACACATTGGATTAACCTTGAGCGGCGTTTTTATTCCGTTGAACACAATTTTTGATCACAAATCAAAAAAGGTAAAATGTAATTATTGTAATATTTTTGAAACCGGATGCTATTTACTTTCTCTTTTACGATAAGTAATAAGGGCATTTTGAGAGTGAGTGCTGTGCAAAAGTCCGTTAGCATTAGTTAGCATTTTTTCACTCAATGCTAATTCAAAGGTTTGGTATTACTCTTGTGTTTCTTTTAGCTAAAAATTGTTCATATGGTCAGTTAGCTGAGTTTCTTCCCATTAAAAGGGTATGGAACATTAATAGTTTCATAAATGTTAAGAAGCCCTGAGACATTGTCTCGAAAAAAAACAGTGGGAGGGGTCCAATGGGGGGTCCTTAAGAGGTTAACACCCGGTCTCTAAACAACAAGGGTCTCATTCTCACTGACAATAATCTGGACTTTCTCTGTATCACAGAACCAATGCGGTCAAGCCAGCCTCCACTTCGGAAAACAGTCAAGCCAGCATCCGCACTGTTTTGTGGTCCGCGAATATCCTATGCATTACGGTAGCGGTCTGGAAAGACTGCCTTCGAAATAAAAGTGCTTACTCGGTCAATAACAATTATACCAAACATATTAAAATATGTACTATATAGGCCTAATGTGATCAAAAATAATGTAAGACAAACTACATATAACTACCACATTATAACTGACTGAATGTAAAACTTAAAGAGTTTCAAAATAAAATACCTTTGAAGTCTCATATATGAGCTATCATCCCTGTTTTTAGATGACAATAAAACTAAAACTGTCCAGTATCAAAGACTTATTTCACTTCAGGGCCCAAGGCGCTTGAGGCAAAATAGGCAATGATGAAGGCTTAACAATTAATATGATGTAGACAGGTTCATATTATTATCAGTGATACAAAAAATATTGTAAATGTTCTTGTACTGTAAGTGTAGTGTATCAAAAACACATATATTTGTTGCAAGTGTATTTAAGAATAGGAAGTTAACATATCATATCAGTGCCCCTAAAAATATACCTAATGGTATAGGACATAAGGCGGAGTGGCATACATCCTCAATAAACTTCAATATGTCCAAAACCCATCTGCCCGTACGCTCACCTCCAGCCGACGCTCCGACCACATCACCCCTATCCTCCACGACCTCCACTGGCTCCTCATCAAACACCGCATTGACTTTCAAATCCTTGGTGCCTTCGCAGCAGCAGCCCCCCCCCCCCCCCCCCCCCCCCTCGCAGCTGGCCTATACTTTTGAAAAAATAACTCCAAAGAGAAAAGTAACACTATATGGATGTTGAGGTAAATAAGCCCTGTGCTGGGGAAGCCAACATACCATCCAGTTTGAGTGTGTGACTTTACTAAATTCATTGCAGGATAATAAGGCGGATAGATGAATAATCTTAGACCAAGTAATCGATCAAAAAGAGAGATCACATACCTTTCCGATGGTGGAAGTACATAATCAGAGTCACTACTGTCCGGGTGTAGTTCTGGCTGCAGGAGGTCCTCGTCGTCCGACTCGGAGTCGACCGGTAAAATAGCTGCCCCGCTGTCTTCAGCCAGAATGGCCAGTACCTCCTCAGTGGTACAAGTCTTTTTCCTGCCTGCCATTGTTGCAATTGGCTTATTTGGCAAAATGGCAAGAAAAGAGAAATAAACAACTGCTAAATGCAAAGAAATCACCGTTCTTGAAACCTGCTGTGCGTTATGATGCGCCAGCTGCCAGGCAGACCTATACGTTACGCGGGACCCTAGAGAGCCTCAATAGAATCGAGGGGCATTTTCATAAATCCATGTAAACATTACCATTGGTCAGTTAAAATGACTCGTACACAGCATGCTCTAAACCAGATGCCCCTACCTGCTCAACATTACACTCCGCTTATTAGCAATAAAGGTCATGATGGATTATCAGTAATCATTTCAAAGTGACAGAGACATTGAATTAACCTTCAGCAGCGTGTTATGCCCTTCAACACAACTTTTGATCACAAAACAGCAAAGGTAAGACATAGTTATAGTTATTTTCTTTTTGGTCCGATCGGGACTTGAACCGGCGACCCTTCGGTTCCAAGACCAGGTCCCTACAGGCTGAGTCCCTACAGGCTGAGACCCTACAGGCCGAGTCCCTACTCCCTACTGGCCGAGTCCCTACTGGCCGAGTCCCTACAGGCCGAGTCCCTACTGGCCGAGTCCCTACAGGCCGAGTCCCTACAGGCCGAGTCCCTACTCCCTACAGACTGAGTCCCTACTGGCCGAGTCCCTACAGGCCGAGTCCCTACTCCCTACAGGCTGAGTCCCTACAGGCTGAGTCCCTACAGGCTGAGTCCCTACAGGCTGAGACCCTACAGGCTGAGACCCTACAGGCTGAGTCCCTACAGGCTGAGTCCCTACAGGCTGAGTCCCTACAGACTGAGTCCCTACTCCCTACCGAGTCCCTACAGACTGAGTCCCTACTCCCTACTGAGTCCCTACAGACTGAGTCCCTACAGGCTGAGACCCTACAGGCTGAGACCCTACAGACTGAGTCCCTACAGACTGAGTCCCTACAGACTGAGTCCCTACAGACTGAGTCCCTACTCCCTACCGAGTCCCTACAGACTGAGTCCCTACTCCCTACTGAGTCCCTACAGACTGAGTCCCTACAGACTGAGACCCTACTCCCTACAGACTGAGTCCCTACTGACTGAGTCCCTACTGACTGAGACCCTACTCCCTACAGACTGAGTCCCTACTGACTGAGTCCCTACAGACTGAGTCCCTACAGACTGAGTCCCTACTGACTGAGTCCCTACTGACTGAGTCCCTACTGACTGAGTCCCTACAGACTGAGTCCCTACAGACTGAGTCCCTACAGACTGAGTCCCTACAGACTGAGTCCCTACACACAGTAAAACAGAGAGGGTGTGTTTGTTTCGCTCACCTGTGTGGTGAGGAGGATGGGGGAGCCGTGGTGACTCCCTGCTGGAAGGAGGAACGTCCCCCCCGCCGTCTGCGTCAGGATGAGGGGGGGCTGAGACATCAGGGGGGGGGCCGAGGTGGAGGGGAGGGGAAGGGAGGAGGTGAGGAGAAGGGAGGAGGAGGGAAGGGAGGAGGAGGGGGGAAGGGAGGAGGAGGGGGGGAGAAGGGAGGAGGAGGGAAGGGAGGAGGAGGAGGGGGGTGGGAGGGAGGAGGAGGGGGGAAGGGAGGATGAGGGAGGAGGAGGAGGGGGGTGGGAGGGAGGAAGGGAGGAGGGAGGGGAGGATGAGGGAGGAGGAGGAGGGGGGTGGAAGGGAGGAAGGGAGGATGAGGGAGGAAGGGAGGAGGAGACGAGCTGCAGGAGAGGAGACGCTGAGGAGAGGAAACTAAGAGTTAGCAACGAGCTAACGTTCATCTGCAGGCTATTACTGCTAACACACACACACACACACTTACCTGTCGGAGGGGGGGCAGGTGGAGTGGGCCTGGGGGGGGGCGGGGTCTCAGCGGCTGGGAGAGGAGACAGAAATTCGCCCTCTACAGAAAAACAGACAGGTATTAATCAAACACACCCACTGCTAACGAGGTCAACAAAAACAAAAAATGAAGAAGAGTGTGATGATGAAGATGAGTTATTGTCTGTTTTCTCACCTGGTTGACAGTACTCCTCCTCTTCATCTTCATCATCTTCCTCCACCTGTTGCCATGGCTCCAGCCCCTCTTCCACACACTCCATTAACAGCTCCGTGTCCATGTTGCTATGGAAACATTTCAAAAGAAACTTTATTGACACGTTTCTCTCAGACGGGGGGGGGGGGGTCGAGGAGACCCTGAACCTGGAGACCCTGACCCTGGAGACCCTGAACCTGGAGACCCTGAACCTAGAGACCCTGAACCTGGAGACCCTGACCCTGGAGACCCTGAACCTGGAGCCCCTGAACCTGGAGCCCCTGAACCTAGAGACCCTGAACCTGGAGACCCTGACCCTGGAGACCCTGAACCTGGAGACCCTGAACCTAGAGACCCTGAACCTGGAGACCCTGACCCTAGAGACCCTGAACCTAAAGACCCTGAACTTGGAGACCCTGGCCCTAGAGACCCTGACACTGGAGACCCTGAACCTGGAGACCCTGAACCTGGAGACCCTGAACCTAGAGACCCTGAACCTGGAGACCCTGACCCTGGAGACCCTGAACCTGGAGACCCTGAACCTAAAGACCCTGAACTTGGAGACCCTGGCCCTAGAGACCCTGACACTGGAGACCCTGAACCTGGAGACCCTGAACCTGGAGACCCTGGCAGTACCCTGTGTTATATGAAAGAGAATATCTCTGAGACATTTATAACATATTATCTGAGGAACAATGAAAACATCTACATCATGAAGTCCTAAAGCAGATCAAATCCCACCAGCTTCACTTCAGCCGCGTGCCACAAGGCGCTGCTCGTCACGTGATAAACACAAACAGAGAATAAACTAGAAGGTAAATCCACATGTTGACATAAAGTTGTGCATTTGAATGAACATGTTAAATATATTTACAGAAGTGAGCAGATGTGAGTGGAGGTTAAAGTAAAAATAGTGCCGGTTTTAAGTACTAAAGTCCTTAGTAGTGTAGATAGATACTAGTGTAGATAGATACTAGTGTAGATAGATACTAGTGTAGATAGATAGTAGTGTAGATAGATACTAGTGTAGATAGATACTAGTGTAGATAGATAGTAGTGTTGATATATACTAGTGTAGATAGATACTAGTGTAGATAGATACTAGTGTAGATAGATAGTAGTGTTGATATATACTAGTGTAGATAGATACTAGTGTAGATAGATAGTAGTGTAGATAGATACTAGTGTAGATATACTAATGTAGATAGATACTAGTGTAGATAGATAGTAGATAGATACTAATGTAGATAGATACTAGTGTAGATAGATAGTAGTGTAGATAGATAGTAGATAGATACTAATGTAGATAGATACTAGTGTAGATAGATACTAGTGTAGATAGATAGTAGATAGATACTAATGTAGATAGATAGTAGTGTCGACAGATAGTAGTACCGGGTTGCAGAGTTAACCCTCGCTGCAGCCTGGAGGCTACAGGCTAGCAGGAGACATGTTAGTGTGTCTCTTTGTTTTGTTCTGTTACAACGACCTGTGCGGAATGCTTTGACGATACCATGTTTAACACGTGGTCGTGCCAATAACGCCCCATTGTATTGTATTGTAAACAGAGGGGCTAACCCGGGCTATAAACCGAGCGCTCCCTCAGTGTGTGTGCAGGACCCGGACCTGAGGAGAACCGGGCCGTGCTGGTCTTACTAATCTTAATGCATTCCTATCTTAATGCATTGCTATATTAATGTATGTCTTACTTGATGTGTTTCTTACCTGCTGCTCCGGGTTCTGGTTCTTCTGCGGGGAGAAGGGTCCAGCTGCGGCCGCGGCAAGTACACGACACTACACGACACGCCCCCTACACGACACGCCCACCTGACACGACACTACGGTGGCTGAGAGATCGTACATGGCAGATTAAAAAGGAATTGCAAATGTTATTGTAGCATTTTAAGCAACTATTCGGCAAATAAATGAATAACCTAGTCTATCCGTTTGAGACACAACAGTATAACTTTCAACCCAAATCATTTTGTCAACAAACGGTGGTTCAGTAAACTTTTTTTTAATATATAAAATAGGTATTAATGAGATAATCTATTAATTATGTTTGTCTAACTGCTACACATGTATTTATACATAAATGTAGATATTTGTGAACATCTAAATATAGTTGTTAAAGGTTTTAAGATATACATAATCACATCATGGGGTCATTAAGGACCAGATTAGGAGGGCCAGTCAGGCCACTAATGAGCTCAATCATTCACATGTATTATTATTACTTTATAGATTAAGAGTACTAGGGGTCTATTACAAAACCTTTGAAGGAATCGTCATGCATTCTGAATGTTTCTGTACTTTAAAAACATCATGGCTCAAGATCCTGTTCTTGTTCAAGATTATTCACTCATTTGTGAATTTAACATCCATATTCACTCAAAACTGAAACAACACCAACATTTTTTTGAAAGCATTGCAGGCCTAAAGCTCCACGCCAGTGACCTATATTTTAATTTCTTCCATCAAACTTTAAAAATGGCAAACAGCATGTTTTTAAAGATTTAATCTTTTAAGAAACAAAATATCAAATTTGAACAGAAAGGTTTAAAAACACGTTTTTAATGCAAATAAACTTGAAACATAAACCTATTTGTCATTTCAAAATTCACTTGTATTGTCTGCGTGAAAGGCACAGTAGGCTATGAGCGAATACATATCAACATTAAAAAAATGACAAAGTCGTACAATATATACCATGTGCTACTGTCTAGGATTAAGTATGATGAGACTTTGTTTAAGGAGGGACCCCAGAGCCAAGGGCAGGCCGAGCAGACCGCCTTCTCCCGCCGCAGGCTTCCCCGGTGATGGGCTCCGTGTAACAAGTCCCCTCAGTCTGTGCGGGGAGCTGCACCACGGTGATGCTGCTGTCATCGCTCGCCTCTCCTCCGGTGGTGCCCTCGGCTCCCTCCGACGCCACACTGCCCAGCACACTGGAGATCACTAATAGCCGCGTTCACACCAAGTACTTTCCTGTACTTAGTTCCGGCACTAAGAGCCCTGGCGCTTTTAACCCCAGGGTACTTAGTACAGATCGCGTTCACACCGGAGTACTTTCCCTGAGGGAAGATTACAAGTACAGTAGGTGGCGGTAAGCACCTTAAAGTTGTTTGCAACCCGCTACAAAACAAGAGAAGAAGAAGAAAAACTGATACAGGATCTGTTTAATCGCCATGTCGGTTTTCTTTATTGCACTCTCAAAACATAACATTAAATAGAAATATTTTAAATGTAACTAAAGTGTCAGTTGTACATGTCAGTAAACATTGTCAATATAAAATAAAGTGTCAGTTGTACTATATAATAACAGTAATAACAATATAAAATAAACTCCCAGGTGTAGGGAGTCTCAGCAGCAAACCCACCTTTATTATATATCTTCCTGAGACCCACTGCATCCGTCTGCCATAAACACTATGCAAACATACATGTTAGTTTTGGCCCATAGTGGACTCCATGTTGTGTTGTGTGAAATGGGGGGGGAATTAAAAGTTTAGGTCAAATAATATTTAAAATGATATAAATTATCATATTTGTGTATGTGCCCCTGCCATTCCCCCACAAGGTTGCAACATTGATGATAAATAAATGACAAATAAAGCTTTGCCAGTTTATAACCGATGAAACATGATGGTATCAGAATAATCACTTACATGTGATGTATAGGATGCTACACAGGTCACAAAAGATAAAGTGTCAGGAGAAATAAGCTTAATCGCCATGTCGGTTTTCTTTATTGCACTCTCAAGACATAACATTAAATAGAACAATTTTAAATGTAAATAAAGTGTCAGTTGTACATGTCAGTAAACATTATATATAAAATAAAGTCATAACAGTAATAACAATATAAAATAAACTGTCCCAGGTGTAGGGATATTCTCAGCAGCATGCACACCTTAGTGCAACGTTGTGTGTCGTGTGTCAGTATTTACAAAAACTATACCAAATAAACTGTTATTAAATGCAGTTTGTCGCTCATCCTGCCGCTGCGCCGACGCTTCCTCATGGCGCAGCGCCCACACTTCATCCTGCCGCTGCACCGACGCTTCCTCATGGCGCAGCGCCCCACACTTCATCCTGGTGCTGCTGGCGCTCCATCTGCTGCTTGAACACTTCTGCCTGGCGCTCCATCGAGGTGAGCATCTTGTCCTCCGTTTCCTGGGCCTTGGTGAACAGCACCATCTGATCTCCACGCAGCGACTCATTCACCACGGCACGCCGGTCCTCCAACGCCTGGGCGGTGTCAAAGAAATTCGCATCCCGTGTCCGCTTTCCTAAGAGGGGAAAATAAGCAATATACAAGTTTAGTCGCCATGTAGTTTTACAACATACTAGGAATGTGTTTTTTGTATTTTCACAAATAGAATTAAGGTTTCACAAATCTGAAACTGTGTTATAAAGAATGTTTAGACCCTCTGGGATAATCCAGTCCAAATAAATCGGCTATGCAGCGATTTAAGAGGTTCAAACACGGAGGATTGTTCCTTTTTGAAGAGTGCTTCATGTATGCTTGAACTTTGTTTAATGTTGTTGAGGCAAGTTAAACATAAAATATGATGAATATTATGAAATAAACATGATTGTGAACATCAGTTCGATGCGTAACGTTCTTTCAAGACAAAGTTACAGTGTGTGTGTACTGTGTGCTCGGGGCCGGTGTTAGCCTATTATGGCTAGCATGGCTAGCTTGATCTACTGAGCAAATAAAAGTACATCTGAGACCATTATTGTGCAGATTAAAACCCCAGTGCATGTAGTTGATTTTACCTTCGTCGTGGTAGTCATCGTTGGCCACTGAATCCGCCGTTTGTAGTCCTGAGTTTCTTTATATTTAGCCGGCTGTGCACAATTCCCAGGTCGAGTGAAAGCTACTGAACTGGCTTCAGTAGCATTCCTTGGGTCGCCTCCTCGGCGTAGATCTCCAGAAGCGCCGACACCTCCTCATCATTTCTTGATGCTTGCCATAACTGCTTTCAAAAACAAACACAACGCACGGAGCGTTGTGTTTTTGTAGCGAGGAAAAACAATGGCGTCTACACACAACATTTTCAGAGTTGTACGGGCGTGGTTTGCAATTCGCCCAGCCAATCAGCACTGGGGCACTTTTGGAGAACTTTTCACCCACAGAAAAGTACGCTCTCTGAGTTGGCTCTAAAAATGGGGGTAAAAGTACCCGAGATTAAGTACGATTTTTGGTGTGAACGCGACTCACGGAACTAAAACGCGAAAAGTACGGTGAAAGTACTCCGGTGTGAACGCGGCTATTGTCTCTCAGCCACCGTAGTGTCGTGTCAGGTGGGCGTGTCGTGTAGGGGGCGTGTCGTGTAGTGTCGTGTACTTGCCGTGGCCACAGCTAGACACTGGGTGTTTCTCAATGTGGAGTACGCTTGCTTGGTAGCACATGTCTGCCGAGCATCTTGCTTCAGAAGCGAGGCAAGAATACTTCCTGGCATTCGGAAAACAAAGAGTGGAACAGGCTAGCAAGTGTGCAGGTGTGCGTCATATGCAGTGGCGTTTTTATATGTACAAAAGTGGTGGGGCACAAAAAACTTAGATGTCTATATATAAGCTTCTGCAGTGACGTGCAGTGAGGTTCATGGCTGGTGAGGCACTGGCACAGACTCTTCAGGTTTACAAATATTATATTTTGACCTAAACCAAAATATAATATTATTTTCAAAAGCTTTTTTTGTCTGATGCTTCGATTAATTTTAAACAGACAGTTCAACAAAAGGATACCCAAAAAATGTAATTTTATCATTTAAATATTGAATTGTTCTCTCTTAGTAAGATCCCATTTTCAATAAAATGGCGGTCTTACCTTGACTTGAAGATGAAGTCCATTTGCCTATCCTTCTGGACAAAAATCTATATTACTTTTTTGTAAAAGTCCTCCTTATCTTCTTGTAGTTTCAAAAGTCTATCATAAATCTAATCCATAGATTTATGATAAAAAAATTATATAAGTAGGGTAGACATGTGGATGTTATCCGGCTAATCAAAACGTGCATTTATCTAACAGGTACGTTTCCCACAGATCTTATTTACAGCTATTTTCTAAAATCCTCTGGAGAAATCTCATTGCTTTTTTGTGCTTACTTCCTGGTTTTAGGACGCGCCACTGCAGCTCTCTCGTCTCCTCTTCACACAGCACACTTTTCGCGGCACACGTACTTACAGCCAATCAGCTCTGAATGATTTGAGATGACGTATGGTGGGGATGGTAGCTCCATGCCCCTCTGGTCATTATTTTTTTGCCACACACATTTCATTACAAAATACTCTGAGCATGCGCAGTGTAGTTTTTACAGTCACCGTTGACTTCACAGCGAGAGGAAGGGGCATAATCAGGTTTTGTCCCACATGGCTCTAAACAGCTCAATAGGCACACACTGTGACTGTAGACACACTAATTAGAAGAACACAGACTAAAACAGCAATGTACAGACGAATCAGATGATTAAACATGATCTTAAAATATATTTTATATATTTTTTTTTTTTTTTTTTTGCATTTTTGTAATCATTATTTGTAATACTTTCTGCTGACACTAGGTGGGGCTGTGCCCCACCTGCCCCTAATGACCAGTCGCCACTGGTCATATGAGAGGCCCCGCCTCTTACATTTTCCGCCACAGATTTTGGAAATTGGTCCGTGCGCAAAGCATTGTGGGGATTTTAAGACCGCGGAGTCTACTCATGTGCAGCCTCGATATTTCTCCAAACGGAGTACGCCGGGCTCGGTAGATTTCCAAGTATGCTGGAGATTGGAACAGTACTTCAGCGGGACTCGA